TTTAGAAACTAATGAGACAGCCAATTTGCGTTTAATTTTCATTATTCAAAGACGTTCTAAAGATTTATCTTAGCCAATTAGGTTTATTTTTATCGTGTTGTATTGATTTCTACTTATTCTTTTATTGTGTTATCCAGATTATCCTTCCTAAAGTACTACGCAGAGTTTCTTAGGTGTAACAGAATTTTAGATATTTGCATAAGAATGACGTAGAAAATTACCAGACGATAACACAAACCTCCTGTTCGTAGTTGACTTTCTTGAAAATAGGTGGGCTGTCATTGCGATTGAGGACGTTTACTGTAACAGTAGCGGTACTCGACATCGGCGGATGCCCTCCATCCTTTGCTTCGATGGTAAGTACATATTTAGGTTGAGTTTCGTGATCAAGCGGTCCATTGAGCTTAAGGAGAGCCTAAAGCGGATGCAAATATACAGCAGAAAGAACTTTTTGTTATACAGAAAGTGAATGCGCAATTTCAGTCTTCTAGGAGATGTTTCTTCGAATATCAATGTATTTCAAACTTTTTCTACAAAATCAACAATTGTATTTTGCTGGTATTTTATTGCAAAACCGCTGACTAAACTAGGACATAAAGTGGAAGTCAACTTTCAGCCCCTGTCTGACGCGGCGATCTCCTATGTATCCCTTTAAAAATGTGCAGGGAATGCGCAAATAAACTAACGCTTTGAGGTGATGTTTTTTCAAGCAGAAACAGTTGTCGATTTCCTCCGACCAGTTGAAAGTGAATCTCTCCATTTTCTCCCGAATCACTGTCTGACGCGGTAATCTCCAATGTATCATTTCTTGATCCTGAAAAACCCTTTTAAAAATCTGACTTTGTAACGAAGAAAGGCAGAAGGTAACAACCTTCAGTGACATTCCAAACTAGACTGTCAAATTTGAAGACAGGAGCATTGTCATTGACATCATTGACGGTGACTCGTACGGTTGTTGAATCCTGAAAGATATTAAACAATTAAGGACCAAATAACTCCACAAGTAATCACCAAGCTTACCTTATTTCCACTTTTATCTATGGCCTCCACAATTACGTCGAATTGTTTTAAAGCTTCGCGATCTAGTGTGAAATCTCCTAGAATTAAGGTGCCATCTTCTTGTATGAACACTAGCTCTCGTCCGGATCCTAGAACATAGTTGAGT